TTGGGTTATCTGTGGAAGAATGTATTTGCTATGCAGAGAATAATATAAACCAAAATGTACTTAAAATGCTCAGCTAGGAGAACACACTGTTCTGAAGCATGCCAGAAGCACCAGTTTAAAAATACAATGAGATTGTAACTTGAGACACAGCTTGCAAACCTGGCCTGCAAATTTTCTGTGCTCAATATAATTCCTTACTTGACTGAGGTCCTCCTGAGCTCTGTGCATTCAACTGTTCATATCCAAAATCACTAAATTAACAATTCTTTAAAGAATTCTTTAAAGAAACAGGGTATAAATCTCAGCCTTCTGCACTGAGAAGGTCTTGCTGAAGTATTTTTTCTTGGCTCCCTTCATGTTACATCCTCCCAGCAGTAAAATACAATTTGGCGTTATTCAAAAATCAAATATTTAAAAAATAAGCATCATTCCCAAAACAAAGTAAATTTTCTTTTTTTTTATAAACAATGTCATTGTATGGGAAAATATTCACGATGTATAATTATGTAAAAAAAAAGCAGTCAACCTAAGATATTATTACCATATTACCACTTTGACAACATACATCAAATTATGTGTTAGTAATGGGACAAGAGTTGATTTTTTCCTTTTATTGTGACTTTCAGAATTTTCTTTTTAAGCTTTTAAAATTGAACATGTATAATTAAGAAACATGATAATGCTTTGTAAAAACATATCATTGGCCCGGGTATGTTTCCGTAGTGGCTTTGTTCTCATGCCCATAGGAATGTCCCCTCCCTCAGGCTCTAGTGAGTTAGCCTCCCTTACCAGGTCTGTCTTTGAATAAAGGTAATGTCATTTTCTGAGCAACTGCTGTCAATCAGGTTCACATTTTATTCTAATCAACTGGCTGTCAATCAGATAAGAATTTAAATTGAATACAGCAAATTTGCTCCTAGGTTTAGTTAAAAGTAACTGAGGCAAAACAGTGACTTTGCCTCAAGTGGAATGGCAGACAGGTGGCAGGAAATTGTGCCTAGCACCAAACCACCTACTGAATTTGTGAGTAAACCAAATGAAAAGGATTGCTTGGTTTTTGTGCAGATCAAGCCACCAAGTGAAAAGCTGTGTGTTCCCCCTTTCAACCAGTTGATTTCATTCCCAAATGACTGTTGACCTAAGGTCCCAAAGCTCCTTAATCTTCATAGACTAAAGGCAGAGAGATGCTGCTTAGAGAAGCAGGACATTCTCAGGTGGGTAGTGGTTATAAGATCAAGTATGTGGTCGGGGGCAAGAGCTCTCACCCCCTCTTAAACCATACAAAAGATGTTCCTCACATAGAGAGGTTCTATTATCAGGAGAAGCAGGGAAGAATGTTGAGCAGGCAAAAACAGATACCTACTATAAACCAAAATGGAATGACTAATTACAAAACTTCTGTTGAAATGCTGTCATAATAACCAGCCAAATGAATAGCATTTTCCCCAGCAAAGTACAATTGTCCCCTCTCCTTACCCACAATTTCACTTTCCACAATTTTAGTTACTCAGAGTCAACCTCAGTTAGAAAATGTTAAATGGAAAGTGCCATAAATAAACAATTCATTTGTTTAAAATTGTACACTATCCTGGCAGCATGATGAAATCTCTTACTGTCCTATACCATCTCGTTCTGTCCCACTTGGGATATGAATTGGCCTCTTGTCCAAGTATAACCATGCTATATAAGCTACCTGCCTGTTAGTTGCTTAGTTGGCATCTCAGTTATTAGATCAAAAAGCATAGTATATGCCATGTTTGATATAGGGTTTCTGGCATTCACTGGAAGTCTTAGGCCATATTCCCATGTATAAGGGAGAACTACTATAGCACAGTAACATTCATAGAGATCTGCAGGCTCCTCTGTCCAGTGGCATTCTCTAGTTCCACTCCATAACTCAGGTTTTCAGCAAGAAAGTTTCAATGAGTTGATGCTCTGCCTTGTAACCCCGGAGCTACTACAGGGCAGGTAATGGTTAAATGGAAAACAAATTAAATTGTTAAAATGTGATTTTAATAGCTCTTAGTGCTTTTATGTAATATGATGCTGGCTAACAAGAGCACATTAAAAAAAGATTTTTATACTTTTCTCCTCAAATGTCATTTAAATCTCATTAGGTAAATCTTTGTGAAATGATGACACTGGCAATATGATTCCTTTTTAATTTTTCTGTATGGGCCACTATAACAGGCCTGGGGAAAACATTAGTGTTTGGCTGATAGGTGCTAGTAGGGACTGTAGGGTATCAATAGAAATTGCAAGAGCCTCCAACTCAATTTCATATACAAAATCAAATTTGAGAGTGGTTAATTGTGCCAGGTAATTTTGTTTGTTTGTTTCGTCACTGACCAGTAAATAAGATTTGTTTTGCCTTCAACTAAGACAAGATGTCTTTGGAAGGTAGCATATAGTTGGGTCTTATAAGGGAATGGGAAAGATGGCATGTGTTTGAGGGACACTTCGTAAAAAGACGGTAATTAAGTGTGAGAGCAATGGCTCAAGGAGCTCAAGTGTGGGGGAGTGTTTTAGAGTTACTCTGTTGCCATTTGATTTTCAGACCTAAAAAATAAATGCCTACCCATTTAAAAAACAAACAAAAAACAAGCCCATTGAGCAATTGATTTATCTAGGTTCTGGTGAAGATTTAGTTATTCATATTTGTATATGAATAAGATTTTAAGATTTCAATTCATTATCAATGTTGCTTTTGTTTGGGGGAAAAATGAAATGAAATTATCATTTCATTTTAAATTGAAAAACTCCTGCCTCTCCCGATCTAGCCTCAGCCCCATCCCACTGCCCAACCAGAGTTTTGAGCTCCAAAAGTTTTTCTAGAAAGACCCCTGGCTGTCCATTTCTCTCCACCTTGTCATCCCTCCCATCCCCAGCCTGGTGGAGTGCATACTGATTCCTATTCTCACTTTCTGATCTCCTTTGAGCTTCTGTGTTGTATAGCCCCTATCTTCTGGGTCCCCTCCATTTGTTCTTCATGGCCTGGCTCTCTCAAATTCTCTTGTTTAACACTACATTTTGATCATAGTAAAAGTGATAATTAAATAGAAAAAGACAAAGTATTGATGTAATTTAAATAGAAAATACAAAATTCTGTGCTTCTCTCTAAAGTTTGCTGTCACATAACCAAATTTAAAGCATGTCTAGAAATTAGATATTTTCTCATTATTACCCACTGGATCATATTGAAGCGGAAAGCAAATCTCAAGCTTGAAAATTTATAGGGCATCAATTTATCTATGACTCAGTAGAGACTCACTACATTTTCTAACTGTAACAAATAGAAGGTGCCTTTTCTAGTTACTGTGAAATAGTCTGTGATTATCAGAGTAAAAGCCTTCACATAAGGATTCTCAAACGAGTACTGAATAGAACCTGCAGGCAATACATGAATTGCCCTGTGCACCGTCCACAGGGAAAGCACAGGTTAGCCAGTGCAGCATTATGTAGCCAAAGCTCTGATTTGAACAGCCTTTGTGAAACAGAGACTCTCCTCTTAGTAAAAATATTTTCCAAAGCTTTTATTTCCAACTTGGTATCCTCTGAAACATGTATGTGGCAGGAATGAGAACATGATAGATCTGTGCTGGTCACACATCAGGGATAGAACTCAAATTTAGAAATTGTCAGTTCCCGGGGTGACAACAGATTAAGGAATGCCAAAGGAACAAGCTCTTTGGGGCAGGAATCACCAAAGGCTCTGCTTCCCTGATTTACTGACAAATTTCAATCTAGGTCTAACCAGATCAGTGGGTCAGAGATATAACTTTTGCTCTTTGTTTTGGAGAGTAAGAACTGGACTTTGGTCTATTTTCCTAACATATATACCAAATGTCTTTGTCATATCAAACATTATACCATACAGATACTGAGCTTTCAACATAGACGTACAGTCTCAAGCCCGTGGCCAATGTTAGTGCAGATGGATTCTGCACAGTGGTCCTAAGAAGGCCCTGGACTCTCCAGCTTTGGCTCTGGGGAAACCAAACATCACAGTAAATGGAAATGCACTGACCTGAGGTGGGCCCATCCCAACAGCAGAGGAAGCTCCTTGGTAGAGACCTGTTACAATCAGCTGTTTGATTTTGTTTGGAGAAACTGGACTTTTGACAGATGAATTTCTTTTCCCTCAGAGTCATGTTTATCTAACAGAGTTATGGCTGGGAAGTGATCCAGGATTCATAAGGTCGAACAGTGACCTGATTCACACACTGGACTCCTCCCATCTCACACCACAGCTTTCCCAGGCAGGTGGTCGGGTGGTCCTTTGGGTGACCCTTCAATGGTTGCCTGAAGGATATAACACTTTGGGCTTGGCCCCCAGAGATTCTAGTAGCCCCATCAAACTCAAGTCTCCATTTTCTTTTCCATGCCGCACGCACTCTGAGCTTGAAATCATTCCAATGTGCTTGATGAATGAACATCTTGTTAAAATGCATTGGGAATTAAAGCCATCAGTGAAATTAAAGGAATAATAATACCTTGGATTTTTGTAATACCTCCCTTCATAAGAAAAATACATTTTCATAGACTACCCAGTTGTGGTCTTTCATTATTCCAAGAGTGAAAGAATAAAGGAATGTTGAATAAATACCCTTAACCTTATTTTGGAAACTCAAACAAAGCCATTAAAAAGAGGATTATAAAGAAGTCTTCCTTCCTCCTACCTACTCCCCTGGTTCCCTGGTGTATAATAAGATATTTTTGCCTGCCTGAAACTCAACCTTTATGTTCTGTCTTCTGTGGTTTTGTTATTACCTCCATACTTATGGATCTGCAGTGAAGATAACTTTATATAACAAGGTCCTTTATGTTGTCTGCTCATTTTACGCCCATTTTGGGATGGGGCAACTTATACAGACTTACCGGAGAACAATTTTGCCTTGTAACAACTTGCACAAAGCTCACTAGCATCCTCTCAATGAAGGAGACAGAGTGCTGGGGTGTGCCTGTTGAACTCACAATTTTCTTTTTCTCATATTTTTCAGAAATTGAGGCAAAGGAAGCATGTGACTGGCTGCGGGCTGCTGGGTTCCCACAATATGCACAGTTATACGAAGGTATGTTCAGCCCTTCTCTTTGTTCTTTACAAAGAGAATAAAATTCAAAATGAACCACATGGATCGTTTTATTTTCCAGGTCTTTTACTGTTTTGCTTTGCTTTCTTGTCCCCTCAGCTTTTGCAATGCTCAAGGCTTTTCCTGATACCAACTTAGAAATGAGAATCTCTTCCCAAGCCCAGTTTCTTTCTGCTTCCCACTACAATGCTCATCTCTTTACCAGAAACCCCCACATCTGTTTTCCTTCCAGTGTTTTGCCATCAGCAGCTTTTCCGTACTTTTTCCCTAGCTTTTTCTCTGCTATGCTCATTTTCTTAAAACTGCAATAAATCGGTTGTTAAAACTTCTTAGAGAAGTCTCAGAATTAGTTGGTTTGTAATTTCTTTTATTTCTGTTCACCTCTACATATATAAAAAAATAACCACAGCTTTTAACTTCTTCTTGAATGGTCCTTATTTGAAGTGTATTTGTAAGGAACCAAGCAATGAACAGATGGCATAGTCGAGCTCATCTGCAAAGGATTATTGCTAATGGATTCATTACAAAGGTGTGGACAGGATATGGAATCCATGAGGAGCAGTGCAACAGAGCTGTCATACCAAACCCAAAGCAGGAAAGGAATGGTGCCAGAGCCCAGGGGAGAGGAGACTAGAAGAGACTCCTGGGAGCACACAGCTGGCCCTGGGCAGCCTTCATTGTCAAGAACCAGAGGATAACTATCCTGACCTCAGGCTCCTCTTTCAGACTCCAGTCAGGGCTTCCACTGATCAAACATGAAAGGAAGCCAGAGGCCATGGGTCCCCTGGGATGTCATACATCCCAATAGGGCACAAAGCAGGGCACAGAGAAACAGAAATGGAGGGTAGGTCTGCAGGACTACCCAGAGGATACCCAGCACACTAAACATTGCTGACTTCTCTCCTGATGGCATGAAATTTGTGTAGAATGAAAATAATCAACAAAATTAATTTTTACTTAGAGGCAACTTTATCCCTTCATCTGGAAGCTCAGTTTTATATTAAAAACAGAGCATTTTACTTCTCTCACTTAAATTCTTAAAAGATAAAGGAGAGCTTATTTCTGCATGTGTTTGTGGTCTAGGATCTCTGGTAAGTTTTCATAGAATTGTCACCTTTTAGACAAGGAACAATCTTCTAAGGTTTAAATGGTTTGTGCAATTCTCCCTCACTCCCATTTTCACCAGTTTACTAATGAGGAATGAGAAGCTTAAGGTTGAGCTTAAATGGCATTTCCAAAGAGGAGCTGTCAGAACTAAAATCCTTGATCCTTAATGAGCATATTTTCTATAATGTACAATCTCTTATAAACTTAAAATACAATGAGATTTAAATGTTAAAGATTCTATAAATATCTAAGAGGTAAAGATAGCTTAGCTCCTAAGTTACATGTGCCTCTCTGATTTGGTTTATGACACTTGTATAGACTAAATGAAACAAGACCAAGTAATTCTATAAAGCTATGTGTCAAGTATTCTTCAGAGCACATTACTTATATTATGTGTTAATATTCACAACAATGCCATGAGGTGGATATTATAATTATCATCATCACCATTTTATAGATGAGGAAACAGAGGCCCAAAGAAAGGTAAGTATCTTGCCCCCAGTTTCATAGCTAAGAAGTAATCAGAACTCAAAGCAGGACCACTGGGGTCAGTGTCTACTCCTTACTATAACACACTTGCTGATAGAATGAGACAAGTCTTCATTCTGGGACCATCTGGAATTCAAACACCATATTATTATTATTATTATTATTATTATTATTATTATTATTATTATTATTATTATTTTGACAGAAGAGAAATTGTTTCTGTTTCCAGTGCACACTGAGATTTAGATACCATATATTTATCATGACTGACAAGGTATAGGCAGTACAGAATATAAGATGAAAAAGAATAAACCAACATTGTTAAAATTGATGATGATCTCTATGCCCAATGATCTCCTGATTTTTACCTACATCAATAAGTTGATTAAAATAAATTCCATGTTTCGGAAGATTATCATGACCTTCAAAGCTGGCATGGATTGTCTGTTGGAGAAAAATCATATTATTGAAAATTTTCCTTCTCTTTGGATATAATCAATTGTTTAAGCATTTTACTTGCACTTCACAGTGACTCAAGGTTTTGCTACAAAAGAAAACATTTGAGTCCATTGAACTTTGGGTATTTTGGGAAATGTCCTTTTTGAAGGAAAAAAGAAAATCTGCCATACTAAGCATTCCATGAAATCATTAGGACAGAAGTCAGTGACCTACACTTTAGGAGGCTGGTGAGAGTATAAAAGCTCTCCTCCAAGCCCTAATTGGCCTCAGGATGTCTATAATAAGGATAAGCTATAAAAATGTAGGCACTTAGTATTTAATTCTACCCAAGGTCAAACACTTGATTATTCTCATATTTCACATTTATATTGTACTCTCAAAAGCATTCACTGTGATAAAAATTATCTGCTATATTAAACAACACCAACAGTGGTAATTGATCCTAACTGCTATTAAATTTTGTGGCTTGTACAGACCTTAGTGACCAGAATATGTTGGTACCCATTCAGATAAAACAAGGCGCATGAACCTCTTTGTCTCTCCCTTTTTCTCCCTCAGATTCACAATTTCCCATCAACATTGTGGGTGTCAAGAATGATCATGATTTTCTTGAAAAGGACCTTGTAGAACCTCTTTGCAGGTAAATCATGTGAAGTAGTTTTCTTTCTTTCTATTGGTCAGCCTCCAGTAGGTATCACTAAATTGAGGAACAAGTTTAACAATTCAGTAAATATGTATTATGTACCTATTATCCCTATTATGTTTTGGACAAGATCAAGTTTCTGAGTATATTACAGTGAGCATGATCAACTCATGTTTTCATGGAACTTAAATTCTGGTAGGAAACCGGAGACACTGGATTAGGAAAAAGGAAGAGAAGAGAGAAAGAAGGGGAAAGGTTATTTCAGAATGTGTTAAATGCTATTAAAAGTAAAATAGGGCCAGGCATAGTGGCGCACACCTGTAAACCCAATGGCTCTCAAGGCTAAGACGGGAAGATTGCAAGTTCAAAGCCAGCTTCAGCAATTTAGCGAGGCACTACATTAGTGAGATCCTGTCTCTAAACAAAATACAAAATAGGGCTAGGGATGTGGCTCACTGGGAGAGTACACCTAAATTCAATCCCCAGTACCACCACCCCCCGAAAAGTAAAATAGGATGAGGATACAAGCATAAGTTGGAAGACATAGATGAGTTAGTGGGAGGAAATGATAGGGGTGGCCGTAGCATGAGTAGTCAGGAAAGGCTCTAGAAACCTCCATGAGTTTGTCACACTTGACTATATTAAATTAGAAAATCTAAAGCCAAATAATTATATCATCAGCAAACCAGCATATTGAAGATTTTGCAGTGTGATAGATGCTATAGGAGACAAAGATGTATGTGTGAATAATTCTCTCCTCTTAAACACTTTATAGTGGAATTGGAGAAACCTAGTGAAATAAGTGAGGTATGAATACATGAACAAATAAGTAACTTTACTGTTTAGGTACTAAAGCATTCAGTATAATCTATATTCTGCATAAGAGGAGATCTTTGTGTGTAAGACTCTGAAATTTCCTAATGAAGGCACTGGAGAAAGGTCAGAGTTGGAGGTGAGTATTAGTTATTGAGCAATAAGTTATTTCACTAAGGTTGTATAGCTTGTTACAAGTTGGAAAGGACCTTAAATCCAATATCAGTGACCTTCAGTGCAGGGTTCTTTCTAGTACATTCTGCATTAGCATACAAAAGATGGTAGTGTGAGGGGGAAATAATGATGACCAAAGCTTGTCAACATTAGGAGAAACCAACGCACATTAGAAGTATGTAAAATCATCTTATTTTTAGGATTGCTAAATCTTCTGACATAAATATTTTTGTGATCACAAGTCAGTCACTTCATGGTTCCTATGTGAAAAGAAAATAGATTTGTATTTAAAAATATCTTTGAATGTTCAAGAAAGCAATACTGTAAGTTTGCTCAAGTTCAAGATAACAATCTGGTCAGGTAGAAGAGCTAAGAACTCTTCATAAATTGGAACAGGAACAGGAACAGGCTATTTGAACTAGAAAACAAATAAACACAAAATGCTATTTTTGAGAGTTTGAGAGTTGAATGGATGATTTGGTTGTGATTCTTTAAAGGTAATGAATTGGAAAAGTGTTTTTTTTCTGTCTTCTTGTTAAAGGAACCCGCCATGCAGGAGCATATTCCTCTTCAGAAGCATTCATTTCACTCAGTACTGTTCAGGCAGTACCTCATCCTCAGTGTTTCCTCTTATTGTTCGCTGAGCATGTTAATTGCTAGTTGGCACTGAAAAAAAAAAGAAAAAGAAAGAAAAGTTTTATTTTTTAAGTTATATTACATTACCTTTTTCTCATTGAAATTTTTAATGTTTTTCTTAAATTTATTTTTTATTTGTTCTTTTTAATTATATATGGCAGTAGAGTGTATTTTACATCATACATACATGGAGTGTTTTCCTTAAATTAAAGTATGGTGTATATATAAAGTAAATTCACTATTTTTAGTGCACATTTTTTTTTTTAGTTTTGACAAATGCCTACAGTCATATAAAACCACCACCACTGTGTAGACATAGAATAGCTCCATCACCCCCCAGTACCCTGGTTCTAATTGTCAACTTCTACCCCTACTTCCAATCTTGGCAACTACTGATTTATTTTTTTCTGCCTATAGCTTTCCCTTTACCAGAGTATCATACAAAGGAAATTAAAACAGTATGTAGCCTTTTTAGCCTGTCTTCTTTCCCTTGGTGTAACGCATTTAAGATTCACTCATGTTGTTATGTTTTTTTAGTTGTTCATTCTGTTTCATTTCTGAGTGTATGGATATACCACAGTTTGTTTATCTATTCACCAGTTGAAGTATATTTGGGTATATGCTGGTTTGGGATGATTATAAAGGCATTCTGAACATTCATATTCAAGTTTTTGAGTGAGCATAAGTTTTCATTTCTTTTGAATAAAATCTTAGGAATGAAACTATGGGGACCATATGACAAATCTGTTTTTAACTTAAGAAGCCAGTAAATATTTCCAAAGTTACCCTACTCTTCTATATTTCCACCAACAATACATGAGAGTTATAATTGTGCTATACTTCATTATTGCCAGTTTTTGTTTTGTTTTTAGACTTTCTTACAGACTTCTAATATTATTGCATTGATTTTAATTTGCATTACATATGTATTTTACATTTTCATAATGACTAATAATATTGAATATATTTTCATGTACTTATTTGACATCTATCTTCTTTGTAAAATAATTTTAAAAACTTTTGCCCATTTTTAATTGTATTGTTTGTTTTCTATTGTTGACTTGATAGATTTTTGTCCTAGATACAAATCCTTTGTCATATATGTTTTAAAATGTTTTCTGGGCATGATGGCACATGCCAGTAATCCCATCTACTCTGGAGGTGATCCCAAGTTCAAAGACAGCCTCAGCAACTTAGCAAGGAGATAAGCAACTTAACAAGACTCTATCTCAAAATAAAAAATAAAAGGGGCTGGGGATGTGGTTTAGTGGTTGAGCACCCCTGGGTTCAATCCCTGGGGGAGATATATATGTATATATATTTTAAACTATTATATATACTATATATATAGTGTATATATACATATATGTTTTAAAACTATTTTCTGCTGATCCATTTCTCGTCTTTTTAATATCTTAGCAGTATCCTTCATACAATGAACATTTCCAATTTTGCTAAAGTCTAATTTATCTATTATTTTATGTTTTTAAAGTCTTTGCTTAACATAAGGTCATGATTATTTTTCCTACATTTTCTTTTATATATTTAATAACTTTTGTATTTATACATGATCCATTCTGAGTTGGTTAATATGCAAAGTGTGAATCAAGATTCATTTTTTTGCATATTAATATCCAAAATACTCAATTGTTTCAGTTCCATGTTGACTAGACAATGCTCTTTGCTTTGACCATATATGTATGTGTTTCTAGCAGCTGAGATCTGCTCTACTTATTTATGTGTCTATCCTTTCATCAATTTGACATTGCCTTGATTATTTAGCTTTAAATAAGTCTTGGGATTCAATAGTGAGTCCTCTAACTTTTGTTTACCTTGCCAGGATATTTTGGCTATTCTAGTTCCTCTGCATTTCCACATAAATGTTAAAAATAGCTTGTCAGTATCTATTTTAAAAATCTCATTGGGGTTTTGATTTGAATTGTGATGAATCTGTATATTAGTTTGGAAAGAACTGGTACCTTAATATTTACTCTTCTGTTCTAAAAACAATATATGTCTATCTGTTTAGGTCTCTGCTTTTTCCACCAGTTATTTCTGGTTTTCAGCATACGGATATTACATATACATACTTGATAGTACCTAGGAATTTCTTGATTATGTTGTAAATAGTACCACCTTTTATCATTTCAATTTCTAGTTGTCTATTCATAGAATGTATTTTTCATATATTGTCCTTTAATCCTACAATCTTTCTAGACTCACTCATTACCTCCAGTAGCTTTGTTGTACTTTACTTAGAATTTAATCTCTAAAATGTTAATGAAAGACTGAATTTTAAACCAAGAATAAAAATTCTATAACATATTTTAAAATCAAAATTTCAGGAACAAAGACTGTGCAATTCTGTTCACAGGGTGACATATATGGTTTACTGGGTCAAGCTTTGAATCTCAAACATGCGGGTGGTAAATCCTTATCTACTCACTGCTGAATATGATCCAAAATGCTTAGAATAAGTTATGGACTTTTCCATCAAAGTCTACACTTTTAAAAAATGTCTTTCAGATGTGTTATGGGAATGAGCCAGTACTATTAATATGAAATCATGTAGACATATAAAGTTCTGAGTAATAATACTTGTGTTAGCCAGAAAAATCAAGAAGTCTTCTCTTGTAGCACATGACCCATCAAGACACAGCTGCAGAAAAATCCATACATTTGTACCCCAAAATACATTACTACATCAACACAAGGGAGGGCAGCAATACTAGACCCTGAAGAGCTCCTAATAAGAGCCCAGCTTGTGTAAAAATTGTTAGAGTGACAGGAGTTTGTTATAATTGGAAGAATTCTTAGGGCAACTATGTCTCCAAAAATATTATGAAGCAAGAAAAACATTTGGCTAGAGGTGTGTGAACTGAAATTCTTGGACCTCAGGAGCTGTGGGTAGAACAGAGGCCAAAGGAGTAATCACACCCAGGGTGGATCAAAGGGAGCAGATGGAGGAGGTAGACAGATGGAGGTGGCTTGGCCAAAAAGAAGCAGCATGGAGTTTCTTTCCCTTCCTGTGAGTTCCATCAAGACACAGATTTCCTGCCTTGCAAATAGCAGAAAGTAGGCAGAAGATCTCCAGCCCGAGGGGAATGACAGCGCTTTTAAAACTTTGAGATTGATGAGTGGTTAATTAGACACTCACCCACTCAGGATGGTAAGTCATGATTAATGCCAAAAGAGCAGTAAGAGGTTGCAATTTTGTTCATTTTCATCCTTATGCACTGTAGACACAGAGATGGAGCTGGTCTCCTGTTTTATTTTTAAAGCTTCGTGGGCCGTACAGTTCTCATACACATTTGAAATGCTGAGATACTGCGGAATTGTAGAGAAATCCTAGCCTGAGGGCAGGGTAGCCTCTG